TACCATTCTGCACAACGACTGGAATGCCACAGACGAAAGAAAGGGCAAACTATCTGAGGTCTACATCTACCCCGGACACAACCATGGAACACTGGGAAGTATTTTTCCTATTTGAACAGTAGAGGTTTGAACTGAATTGTTATTAACAATGCTCCAAAGTTTTTAATCATGTTTATGAAATATCTTCCTTACTATGTTTAGAAAGTTTGATACATTACCTCCATTCCCAATATAGCTACTTTCTTTAAAAGAGGCTATCTAATAAAAATTAAAGGCCAGTGACTTTAAAGAGTAAAGACTACGAACAACAAAAATGAGGTATAATTGGCCTTTTGTCTAATATTGGAAAACTTAGACCAGTGTTTAAACCATAGCGAACAGCTTTATCAATAATATCACAAATCCAATGTACAAATTCAAACATTTTCATAACATACAAAGTCAAAAAAAAGAAACTGACTCTAAAAGCACCTAAAATTAACTACTAAAGTTGAAGTTCTCCAAACTTTCTAGGTTTTGTTTCTGCTTTCTTTTTAGCCAAGATCGACCACTGAATTACTTTATACCACCACCCAGTACAGATAATTTACCTAAAATCTCCTAAAAATAATCCTCCAAAAGAGGATTCCAAGTACAGAATATGCTATCACAAAACATATGTGGAATGAACACTGACTGCATGAAGCCTATAACTCAACTTTTACAAACTTTTCCATAAAATGGTTTATCTTAGTTTCCTTACCAAGAAATGCTATAACAAGGGCCGGAGAGATGGCTCCGCAATTAAAAGCACCAGCTGTTCTTCCAGAGGACCTGAGTTCAATTCCCAGCACTTACATGGCAGCTCACAACTGTGACTCCAGATCCTGGGTACTGGAAACCCTCATACAGACATACAAGCAGGCAAAACACCAGTACACACACTGTAATAATCAACTATGTACATATAATACAGAAATTATTAAATGATCCTGTCTAAATGCAGCACTTTTAAGGCTAGAGAGCTGTCCAAGCAGTTAAAAGCACAGGCTGCTTCTGAAGAAGACCCAGGTTAAGCTTCCAGCATCCACATGGGAGCTTACCACTGTGTAACTCCAGAATCTGCCACCCTTTTTTGGCCTCCACAGGCATCAGGCACACATATGGTGCATAAACACACATGCAGGCAAAACACTCAAGACACATAAAATATAAATATTTTAAAGCACTTTTAATTCATTCAAGCATGAGTTTCAAACCCTTTTATTCCATCATGCAGAATGAATTTTACATCTAATATTTACAGTCAAGAAAATAAATAAAACGAAAATGTAAACCTACTAAGGCCTACAGAATAGTCTTTATTTCTGGTATAATAACTGATTTAAAAAAAGATAAAAGAGGAGTTTACATTTTAGTGATAAATAAAAGACCGGAACTTAATTATTCTTGGTAAAAATTCTATTTAAATTAATAGATAAAAATTGTATATTAATACATATTCATAATATCAAGAAATATAGAAACATATAAAGTAAATTTAATTAGGGTACAAGATAATGCAAAATCCAATAAGACAAGCAGTTGTGAACACTTGAAAATATGAGGAAACTTTTTTTTAAGATACAGTGCTCTGGCATGTATGTCTGCATGCCAGAAAAAGGCACCAAATTTCATTATAGATGGTTGTGAGCCACCATGTGATTGCTGGGAATTGAAATCAGGATCTCGGGAAGAGCCGTCGATGCTCTTAACATCTGAGCCATCTCTCCAGTCTCATAAGAAAACATTTAAAGCACTTTAATGAAATGAATAGAGATAATGTGGAATTTCAACCATATTACTCGAAGTTAATTATTGTGTTTTGCCTTTTCAAAGTGCTATGAAAATGATCTCTCGGGTGTAACTCACTTGGTAGAATGCTTCCCTACTATACAAAAAGCTTTGGGTTTGAACTTTAGAACTGCTTAAATCAGGGTTGTAATTCAAACACTTGAGATGTATAAAAAAGAGAAGTTCAAGGTCTTCCTTGGTCACAAAGTAAGTTTGAAACCAACTTGATATACATGAGACTCTGTGTCTCAAAGAAGAAAAGGAAATCATAAAATCATTATTTTTCTCTTCTAAAACCTTGCTGGATTCAAGAGAATCAAGCACAGAAAATCAGTTAAAGGTAAGACACTTTTGGCTTAGTCTGTGTCTTACAGGTTGTAGTTTCTCCGTGGGAAGACTACCATTAATAGTTAAAAGTACGAACGCTTTCTTTCTCTAATGATATAGGAAACTGAACACAAGTGAACAATATAGGAAGGCGAATGAACATCAATGATGAAATATGTTGATGCTCTATAGCCTAAAAAGTATTGCTATCTCTGCTGCTACCATTTCAGGACTAATTTCATCCTAAGGAGTCTGCACCATAGTAAATAGGTTTTACTTTCCTGAATACACACACACACACACACACACACACACACACACACAAAACACACTATGCAACTGGTAATCACTCCTGTTTATCTGAATAGCTAGAACTCTGGTTTGTTTGGTATTTTGTTTGTTTGTTTTTTGGTTTTCCAAGACATGGTTTCTCTCTGTATCCTCAGCTGTCCTGGAACTCACTCTGTAGATAGCCTAGAACAAAGATCTGCCTGCCTCTGCCTCACTGAGTGCTGGGATTAAAGGTATGTGCCACCATCGCCCGGCTTTTTTATTACTATTATTATTATTATTTTGTAATGACTATCTTATACAAAGACTGCCATGAAGTTAAGGAATTCCCATACACTAGGTTTTGTATTCTTAAAAGAGTGGAAAGGTTCCCCCTGACATTTATTCTGGTGTTTAGAATTACAGTGCCTTTACAGGTCCTGATGGCAAACATACACTTTTTAGAAACGTTTACAAAAGATGGAGTGTGGACTTCTGCAGTGAACAGTACTTCAGATTGACACCACAAAAGCATCTTCACATGCACCTCAGGTCTTACCAAATCCTAATGAAAGGGAATTACTAACCGCACTAAAATGGTAAGTCATATAAAAACCATGACGTCATCTTCAATGACTTACTCGGCCTCACCTTATCTGATCAATCAGGATGAGGTTCTATGCAGTCTCTACATGCTTTCACCACACAACCCAAAAGTGTAATTTATACGGCAGTGTAACCAGATGGATGCAACTGTCCTGGTTTCATCAATACTGCCCGCATTCAGGTATCATGATTTCTCTCTTCCTATTATGTATTTTCTTTCAGCTACATTTACCTTTCTAATAACAAGAAAGGCAGATTTCTGCTTTAAGCCAATTTCAGTAACTGGCACTAATTAACCTTCCCCTGCAAAATAATTAGAAAAGTGGAAAACATCTATCAAATGTCTTTTCTAACATTAGAAAACAAACTATAAACTAAAATCCCTAAAAAAGAAAAACAATGTGAGCCCTACCATCATTTTCATTTCCTGTGTGGAGATAATCTGCAGATCAGTATGCAGAAAGTGGTCTCCCTGACCTGAGGAAGCACAACAGACTGCAACTCCAGGAGGCAACAGCAGCTGCAATTCCTAAGGCACTGGTTGAGAGGAGGGAGCTATTTAGAGAAGTTATCTCTAGAAACCTTCAAGGCTAACCCACAAGTATGTTACTAATGGTAAACCCTACAAGTATATGGTGACATTCCACAATAGCAGGCTAAAACAAAAAAAGGAGCTGTGAGATATTTCAAGTCTGGAGCAGTACATACATGGAGTAAATGTTGAAAATCCAAAGCACTCTGAAGAATCTCAGGAACGTTATACCAAGTAACTAAGATGGCTGACCTATCCTAAGCAAAAAAGTTACCCTAAACCAGTGGTTCTCAGCCTTCCTAATGCTGTGACCCCAATTTGAATACAGTTTCTCATGATGTGATAACCCCAACCATAAAATTGTTTTGCTTGCTACTTTGTAACTGTAACTTTGCTACTGTTATGAATCAAAATATAAATACCTGTGTTTTTTTCATGGTCTCAGGCAACACCTATGAAAGGGTCGTCTGACACCCAACTGAAAAGGGGGTTAGACCCATAGGATGGGAACCACTGCCTTACACCTACCCTGCCCTGAGAAATGCTTAAAAACAAATATACAGGGATACAGATGATCTCTTGTAATTTCCCCCCAGAACAAAGCTCTAGAGTCTAAAAAGGGACAAAAATCACCAGGTTGTGGTGATGCACACCTGTGATCCCAGAACTCAGGAAACAGGCAACAGATTTCTGTGAGTTCAAGGCCATCATGGTCTACAGAATGAGTTCCAAGACAGCCAGGTCTATACAGAGAAACCCTGTCTCATAAGATGAAATTTAAAAAAAGAAATCTAAATATTCAATAGTATAACATTCACAGTGCCTAAAATCCAATCAAAGTTCTCTATTATTCCCTGCTTCTGGAGATGACACCTTAGAGGCACTCAGAATGGTTTGGTTTTAGACATACCATCATAGACTTTCCTGCAACACAGCCTCCAACAAAAATGAGCTGCCCTTCTGGCTAATATCTTTCTTTGTTAAAAGAAGTTTTCCCTTTAGACCGAGACAGTCAGAAGAAAAGCACCACAACTGCCATTTAACATGGGCCCAGGAAGACCTGGAGAAGATTATGCAGAGAGACCTTATGACATGCCCTATAATGAAAACAACAATGAATCAGCAGTGTCTACAGTGGGTCCATGTGTGCTGAAGGCGTCTGTGATAGGATCAAGCAGGCTTTCCTTACCACGAAGCAGAAAAGTAAAGATTGATGTTGCACAAAAGCAGTCTAAAAACCAAATTTTATAATGAAGCAAAAAAATCCAAAGGCAAGGAAATAAAAATTTACCAGCTATGTAAATTAGCAGGAAAATGTGACCCACAACCAAACAGAAAAACAAAACAAAAACAAAAAAAAAACTATCAACAGAAATATTCCAGGATAAAACAGTGGTATTACAAAACAAAGACTTGAAAACAACTATTACAAACAACTCATTTAGTGGTAGCAGGAGAAGATGGCGGTCTCCACAGGAGTTAAAGTTCCTCGGAATTTTCGCTTGTTGGAAGAACTTGAAGAAGGACAGAAAGGAGTAGGTGATGGTACCGTTAGCTGGGGCCTTGAAGATGATGAAGACATGACACTTACAAGGTGGACAGGCATGATTATTGGGCCACCAAGGACAAACTATGAAAACAGAATATATAGTCTGAAGGTAGAATGTGGATCTAAATATCCAGAAGCTCCTCCATCTGTTAGATTTGTAACAAAAATTAATATGAATGGGATCAATAATTCCCGTGGAATGGTGGATGCACGAAGCATACCAGTATTAGCAAAATGGCAAAATTCCTATAGCATTAAAGTTGTCCTCCAAGAGCTGAGACGTCTAATGATGTCCAAAGAAAATATGAAGCTTCCACAACCACCAGAAGGACAAACGTACAACAACTGATTTTAGTGGATCTCAAACTTGTCTTAAATCAACAACCTTCTACTCATGTTAATGTCTTGATTAAATATCACCATGCAAAATACCCACACATTAAGTAAAAGAATTCCAGCTGGTAAACATGACCTGGACAGTTGTAAGAATATATTTAATATATGTACACCTATTATGTTTTCGGGTAACAGGAGAAGTGCAGCACAATTTTTCTTTCTCTTCTTAAAGCACTGTCATTTAAACATGAGCCTGAAGTATTCAAAATTGAATTCAGGTTCTCAAGACAAAAGCACGGCAAAGAGTGTCAGATGGCAGTGGAAACCTTTGTCTTTCTGAACAATAAAGTCTCAAGACGGAAGAGCAGAAATGGCATGCTTTATCCATCGTCCTTAGACTACAGCGAACTGTTTAAAGTAGCAGGTATAATGAGTAGTCACAGTTGTGTTAACTCGAAGCGGTGCGGGTGTGGGTGCTGACCACTATAGCATCAAAATAGCTTCAGGATTGTTTTGATACCTGTATTTATAATAAAAAGATGTTTGGGGTATTGATGAATCTCTGTTAAAAGCTGTTCCCGTTTGTTCCATGTAACAGACATGATAAATATTTGTTTACAGTCTTTGTTTAATAAAACATGCTTAGAGGTTTTAAGTGAAGCAACGAAAAGGAAATAGGTGTATGGATATGTGATTTCAGATCAAAGTTAGTCTTGAAATGTAAATAAAATGCGGAATGTGTCCTCAAAAAAAAAAAAAAACAAACAAACAACTCATTTAAAAAAAAAAAAAGGAAAAATGGAAAAGGATTTTAAAATGACCAAAACAACATGAGCTTCGAGAAATAAAATGTCATAATCTAATATACAAACCTTCTATATTAGACAAGGTGGAAGAAAATAACCAGCAGCTAACACACTCACAATCCCAACGCCCAAGACACAGAAGCAAAAGAATAGCTGCAAGTATAAAACTGTTCTGCACAGTGAGCTTTAGTCCAGAGGGCATGGGGAGATATATACAAATTAGCTTAGACCTGGTGTGGGGTTTTGGAACACATGCACATAAATAATAATAAATAATTCAAAGCACTCACTCTGAGAAAGAGAGCTTGTCTTCAATAAAAACAAAAGATACAATATTAGAAAATGTTAAAACTGAATTGTAGAACAAAACATTGGGGAAAAAAGGTTTTGTTACCTCAGTAACAACTGTGACAGTATTAATCTCTATGTTCTAGCAACAAGGATAGGAAGATACCGAGACACTCCCATCCCAATCCCTCGGCCAACTGAGGCACAGGCCTTTAGTCCCAGCACTCAGGAGGTAGAGGCAGGTGGAACTCTATGAGTTTGAGGTCAGCCTGGTTTGCAAAGTAAATTCCAGGACAGTCAAAAAATATGATGAACCATGTCTCAAAAAAAAAAAAAGATACCAAGATAAAAATGTTTTCAAATTATATAAAATGTTGTATAAGTATAAACATCAAATATACACAAGAAACTCATAATTTACAGAAAACTAGAAAATCTCTTAAAAGCCACAGGAAGAAAAATTGTTCCTTATATAGAAAAGACATATATAGAATCACTACTGACTTACTGTGATAAATAAGCCAAAATACAGTGTTTTTAGAAATCTTTAAATTGCCAACAAAGAAAAAAATTAGTCTAGAATTGTAAACCCAACAAAACTATCCTTTAAATGTAAAGGCTAGTCAGTGGTTGTGTGGTACATGCCTTTAATCCCAGCATTCAGGAGTCAGACGCAGGAGGATCTCTGTGAGTTCAAGGCCAGCCTAGCCTACAGAGTGAGTTCCAGAACAGCCAGGACTTTACACATAGAAAGCCTGTCTCAAAAAAAAAAAAAAAAAAAAAAAAAAGGAAAGGCTAAACTTTTATTAGAACAACATAAATAAAGACAATCATTACTAATATTAAAAAGGAAATTTTGGGGGTAGAAGGAAAATGAGATTAGAGAAGCATGTATGCACCAAGGAATGAGCAATGTTAAAAATGGAAAATACACAGACAAATGCAACTTTCTTTAAGGCATGGCTATGTAAGCCTATAAACCCACCACTTGGGAGGCAGAGGTAGCCAAGCAAAAGTTCAAGCCCATCTTTAGTAACACATTAAGTATGAACTTAAAGCCACCCTGGGATATATGAGACCCTATTTCAAAACAAACAAAAAATATCACAAACACAATTACCAACACTGGGAGGAAAGCATGACTACATATCTTAAACCCAATAAAAACATAAAATAATATTATAAATAATTTCATGACAATAAATGAAAACAAATTGCTTACAGTCCATGGATAACAAACCTGAGCTAGAGAGTTGACACAGTACTTGAGTGTTTGCCTAACAGAACAAAAGACCTAACTGCTCTAACCCAGTATCAAATGATTCTAAAAATATAAAGTTTGACTAGCTTTATATAAATGAAACTAAATTAAAATTCTGTTATTTCACAAAAAAAGTGACATAAAAGGCATCACTGGTGAATCCTATTGATGGAGGAAGGCCATTGGTTAATTAATAAAGAAACTGCTTGGCCCTCATAGGTTAGAACATAGGTGGGTGGAGTAAACAGAACAGAATGCTGGGAGGAAGAGGAAGTGAGGTAATACGCCTTAGCTCTGCTCTCTGGGGCAGCGGCGATGAAGCTCCAACCCAGGATTGACGAAGGCTAGAATCTTCCTGGTAAGCGCACCTTGGGGTGCTACACACATTAATAGAAATGGGTTAATCAAGATGTGAAACTAATGGGCCAGGCAGTGTTTAAAAGAATACAGTTTACGTGTAGTTATTTTGGGCATAAGCTAGCCAGGCCGCCGGGAGCCGGGCTGTGGGAAGAGGCCCACAGCTCCTACTACATCCTATTATTTAGCTAGTCTGAGCTGGCTGCATCCACCAAGGCCCATGCAACAGTTTTGGGAGTTAAGGTCTATGTAGAAATGTTCAGGTCATGAGGGCTTCACTCATGTGAAAGGATTAATGTCTAAAAGGGTCTGGTCCCCTGCCCACACATTGGAACGGTGACATGTGACTTCTCAACCTCCAGACCATGGGATAATAACTTTTGTTCATAAACTGCTTAGTCTCAGGCAGTGAGCTACAGCAGCAGCAAAGCTGAGAAAAGAATATGGTACCTGAGAGTGAAGAATTTAATACAATAACTAAATTAAAATGAGGGGCAATTTTAGAACTGGAGATTGAATAAAAGCTAAGAATGAGCTTTGAAGTGAATATTGGACAAGGTGTTAGTGATGGGTGATTCTAGTAAAGGACTGTAAGATGAAAAGAGCAACAGACTCTTTGTGATGCTAGAAATGTCTGTGACCAGAAAGTTGGTAGAAATGTGGAAATTCTGATAGGGTCTCAGACTGAAATAAGAAGCAAGACTACCACAAGGCTACCTCAAGTCCGCTCCCTGCACTCTGGTACAACAACTCTCCTTGGATCCCCTAGGTAAGGCTCAAGAGAGCCTAAATATGGCTTGGGCTATAGTTTGGGGAGGCACAAGCATCAAATACTAGCACCATCCATAGAAAATAGATTAGATAAGGGCCTGATTTCCTATCTCCAACTAAACGTTAACAAATAACTGCAGACAACGTGAGATTCCAAAGACTTATAGCAAGGGTAAAAACACTGCAGAGTCACTATTAGGGCAATGCCCAGTAAAATGTGCAGCCAGGAACCCTACCACAACATCATGCTGGAAAAACTGCAGGCTTGAGACTCCAACCTGTGAAAGTTGCTATATGCATTTGCTAAATCAAGCATGGCCACAGACAAGAAACTTCCTGAGACTTTCAGAGGGCAGAATAATCTCTTCATCTTTAAGATTTAACACTCTGGGCCAGGGAAAATGGCTCAATGAATAAAAGAGCTTGCTGGGCAAGTCTTGCCACCTGAATTCTATCCTGGTAAAACACATACACACGGAGGGAGGGAGGAAGGGAGGGAATGAGCACATATGCATGCTCACAAGAAAGAAATTTCTTTTAACGTTAAAAGATTTCATGTTGTTCTTTCTGCTGAGTTTTGAACTTATTTGGGGCCAGGTACTTTTTTCCTATCTCTTCCTTCATGAGTTAAAAAATGTCTGTCCTATGTCTGCCCCACAATTATATACTGGCCACACACAACTTGTTTTGATTTCACAAGCTCACAGTTAAAAAAGAATTATTTGTCCCAGGATAAGTCCAATTTCAATAGATTTAAATGAGACTGTACTTAAACTAAGACTTTAAAGTTGATATTAGAAAGATTTAAGACTTTAGAGACTACTGGTATGAACTCTATTTATTTTACATGTTAGAACTCTATTTTATTTCCCATGTGAGGATAAAAATGGGTGGATCAGAAGCAGAATATTGTGATCTTAATGTGTTCCTGGTAAAAGCCTGTGTAGAAAACGTAATCTTCCACATTGGAAGGCAGAGTTCAAGGAGAGAGGTCAGGAATGGATTAAGCTCATTAATGTAGATACTAGTGTCTTACCATTCACCTTCCTGTGCTTTTGGTGATGACACAGGAAGAAGGCCTTTGCTATATGCTTGATGCTGGACATAACCTTGAAGTAACTAGATAAATTTATGTTTATTATAAACTGGGTAGTTAGAATATCTGGGGATAGAATCCAGAAATATGAACTTGCCAATATAGAACTCTGGACTTTGTGATCAGGCAAGAATCAGCTCCTTTTCTTGACACATTTCTTTTCTAAAGAAAGAGGATAATTAAGTTGGTGAAACTGAAATCCTAACACTAGGAAGGACTGCTAATGCTTTCAGGTTTGGGTTTGGATTTTGGCCATTAAGGACTTCATTAAGTAGTATGTATTGGAAAATTACATCACTTTCTACAATATGTCAAATATTGCAAGTAATTGCCGAAAACAACCTACTAAACTCAGTATAGATTTGACAGTACCCCTCCCTCCTTGGCTGTATCCTGTTAACTGGAAAAGCTAAGCTGTATAACTACTGTTTTCCAGTAATCAAAAATTTGCATCATTTGCATATACATGAAAAACTATAAAATGTTCAAAAGCATGAATCTATACCAAGGGAGAAGATGAGGTACAGTGTTGAGGGAGCTGCAGGTTGCATTCCTGCCGCCCTGCTCCCCGCCTCCTGGCTAGCTTATACCCCGAAATAAAAACACACAAACTGTATTCATTTAAACACTGTCTGTCCCATTTCTATTAATGTGTGTAGCACCGAGGTGCACTTACCGGGAAGATTCTAGCCTACATCCATCCTGGGTCGGAGCTTCATCGCGTCTGCCCAGGAGAGGGGAGCATGGCGTCTGAGCTCACTTCCTCTTCCTCCCAGCATTCTGTTCTGTTTACTCCACCCACCTATGTTCTAACCTATCAGGGTCAAGCAGTTTCTTTATTAATTAACCAATGACCTTCCTCCATCAGTACAGGAATAAAGACAACTTCTGCTTCT